TAGTGTTTGGGGTTGGGGTTTGGGTTATGATTAGGGGTTAGGGGTTTAGGGTTAGGTATTAGGGTTGGGGTTGGGATTACGGTTTGGGTTAGTGTTTTGGGTTGGGGTGTGGGTTATGATTAGTGGTTAGGGGTTGGGGTTACGGTTAGGGTTGGGGTTTGGGTTAGTGTTTGGGGTGGGGGTTAGGATTAAAGGGCGTTCCTTTACGCTGTCACTGAGAAGAGACGTCCCAGACTCGTCTGGCTGTCCTCAGACTTTTGACAGGTCTTCTCTCCCTGCGTTCCCAGTGATTGTCAGAGGGAGCTGCCCTCTGCTGTCCTTTAATAACCCAACTGTTCTGCCTGGAGCAGCTTCAGGCAGAACAGTTTCCGACGTGGCTCTCCTCACATCAGCTTTTTTCTCGGTAAATGTCTGTTGCAATTCATTTAGAGGTCCTTGTTCCATGTATGAGGGGAAGCTGTCACAACAGTCCTGATCCAGAGTCCGATGTTTGTCCCTGACCTATTATTCATGAAAAAGGCTGAAAAAGGCCCCTAACTCAAGGGATTAGGTTGCGTTCTGTCCAGCTCGGCAGAGCAGCAGTTTAAGTGGATCTTTAAGCTCTTTCTTAGCAAAGAAAGAAAATTCCCAAAGAGCTGCTGGCTGGAAACTGGGCAGATCTCAGCTGGTGAGCAGAGTCCTGAAAACATCTGAGGAAACTGGACCAGTGGAGGACAGAAGAAGAAGGGCTGGGCCTGAAAACATCTGGAAACTGGAGGACAGAAGAAGAAGAGCTGGGCCTGAAAACATCTGGAAACTGGAGGACAGAAGAAGAAGGGCTGGGCCTGAAAACATCTGGAAACTGGAGGACAGAAGAAGAAGAGCTGGGCCTGAAAACATCTGATCCAGCAGATGAGGATCTAAAGGGGACCTTCAGAAAGAGGAGCAGATCCAGCTGAGAGCTGAACAGGAGCTGAGAGGAGGAATCCTGCCCAGAGACCTGTACCCTACTAAAGTTTTCATGACTCTGTGGGTGGAGCCTGACATTTCCTAGCTTCAGTAGCTCTGCTTTAGTGTCTGTTCCACTGCTATCAGCTGATCAGAGGGCTGGCTGTTTGGCCATGTTTGTTTTCCCCCCCCGTTTAAAACAAAAACCTAAAACACATCAGTCTGAACTCTGTTGTGTCCACACATAATAGCTCCACACCTGAGGTGGTTCCAGGGGCTTGGGACCTGGAGGAAGAACGCTGCTTTCAGTCTTCAGTTCAAGTCTTTAGTGAGCTCTGAATGAGTATTGTGGCTCCAGCTCACCTTCCACAGAACCAGGCTTTGAAACCAGAGTGTCCTCAGGCTCCAAGCCCCCCCCCACAGTCTGTTATCCAGCCACACTCGGAGGAATCCGACGTGGGCTTCTGTGGCTTTGTACAGCTGTTGTGTGTAAATCTGTGAACTCTGGAGAATAGACTCATGTGTTCCAGAGGTCCAGGATCCAGTCAGAGTGTGATCAGTGTCGGTCACATGACCCAGCAGCAGCTTCCAGCTCGGCCGAGGCTGGGCCTGTTAAGCCGTGTCAGAGCAGTTATGGAGGACTTAGACTATGACTGGATCTGGGAGTTATTGGCAGTCAGAATCTGCAGGAAGTCCGACCCAAAAAGGGGGGAAAGTATCAGTCTCATGTTCTGGGAAAGGAGAACACCCAGAGGGGGAAGTGCCCAAGTCCTCTGTTTTCTCACATTTTTCTAGCCTCATGGTCCAAAGAATTGGTCAGCAGGGTTTGAGATGGTCAGAAGAAGCTCCAGAGAAGTTCTGGAGAGGGGTGTTAATGAATAGAGGCTGCTGGAGCTGTGTGTGTCCGGGGGAAAGGACTGCATACCCAGCTGTTGTCCAGTCTCAGAGACGGGCTCAGCCAACACAGACGTGTGTGTGTGTGTGTGTGTGTGTGTCAGTCTGAATGACTGCGTGAG